GTTTAACAACCTCGCGATTGCTGAGAAAGAAAACGACGAATTCATAATCCAATGCCGAGGTTAATAGAAAGTCGATCCTGGGAACAACGTAGATATCCAGAAAAACCATACTGTTTTTCCGAACAGCCATCCAACTTACTACGATGACGAAAGACGACATGACTTCCGTTGTTATGGCCAACATGCACTACCAGTAGTGTTAGTGACTGCCTGCTCCAGAAGCGACTTACCTATGACTCTACTCGTCCTATTTATCTCCCGATAGAGTACGTGGGAATTAGCAACATATTGAAAAAGGCGAGAAAAATTACATGCATGGAAGCATAGAAATCGTAAAGTCACTTCCTAACGAAGTTTGTGCTTACATGTAGTCACTCCCTTGAACGGAAAACATCTAAACATTTTCTAGGAGTGAAGACTCCACTACCTCATCAATTCCACCTTTCTTTATTTTCGGTCCATATACGAATCAATAACGACAATTTCATTAGTAATCGCAGTCTTTCCCAAATTTACGTGTGACTAATTAAACTAAAAGTAGTGATTTTCATTCTTTATTCGCAGCTAATGATCATTAGTATTGGCCTTTTTAGATTTATGTTTGGAATGGTACAGCATTTTTTCCATCTTGTAAAACGACGTTTGTTCGAGTAACTGAAAAAATCCTATTCAGCCATGCATAAGTTGGACTGCCTTTTGGAGAAAAAGGTGGTTATAAGATAAAGAAAGATCACCTCTCTTGCGGCGTTAACGAGATATTCGCAGTCCTTATGTTCTTTCTCACCCTCCATATTAGAACCGTTCTCATCTGACTCCTCGACCCAGGAAGTTCCAAAGTCAGCACCACCACAGCACACATCATGTTTACTCTTCCGTGCATTGTTCTATGATATATAGGTTAGTCCTCTGAACGATTTAGCATAAAAGACGAAATATGGAGTTAACTGGATTCGTGACAACGACCAAAGCCGGCCGAAGGCCAAATCAGTACTAACACGCACATCATGTTACCTTTCAAAGCACAAACGAGTTACCTTTATGAATAACGATCGGAGCGAACTACGGAACTTTACAAATGGAAACTATTATGAGGCCCTTTGAAGAGAGCTTAAACAATTATTTAAGTACATAATAAACACCAGATGAAAATCGTGTTAACCCACTAATCCCAAATGGCTAAATAGAGTATGATGTTGTACATGTATCAAGCCGGTGGTCACGAATGAAAATTTGTAATATTACGCTTCGCTTTGACGCTTAACATTCTTAGTAGACATACTGTAAGGCAAACATTACAAAATAGAGGTTTTCGCATGTACTGCTACTCCATGAAAGGCTTGATGCGCATCGGACATTTTACCGCATGTCGTCTAGCGACCAGCTGTTGAGCGTGTACGTTACACGTAGAGTCACAGTGGTTGCTTAGACATTCAGAACAGGGATCACAAGTACATTCCTCTTCAGCAGCAGTGTTTGTGTTACGCTAGGGATTAGTCGCTGCAGAGCTGATGTAATTGTACTTGTCCAAGAGAAACAATCCAGCGTGCTTCTCATCTGCGTTGTACGATCGGAGCGAACTACGGAACTTTACAAATGGAAACTAAATATCATCTTCCCATCCTCATCAGCACTAGTCCCTGGCTTTGACAACAGTTTTGGAAGGTTATTAAGTCTTCACGTCGTTGTTTGCCAAGGCGTATAATTGGATGCCACCTTCTAACAAAACAAATACTATTATTTTATCTTATTAAAAGCATACATTTTACATAACTTTTATAATGCCGAGATATTTGCAAAACTCCGGACCGCAAGTGTCTGCGGTAGGGAACGAATTCCGAATGAAAAGAAGGGGTACGAAAGAACACTGACGGGTGATTGCTGATGGCAAAAGATCAATAGAACTAGAGGAGAGACAGGCGAAACGAAGGACCCGCATGGTGTGGTGGTGAACGTGTTACACCCCGGAAAAGCCAATAGCACGTTCGTTCCCCACCGCAGACACCTGCGGTCTGGAGTTTTGCAAATATCTCAGCATTATTGAACTAATAATACTATTAGTACAGCTGCATAAAACTATCTCTTATGAGAGAGGACAAAGACATGATCGGGAGGCCGATTTCTTTCTAAATTTAATCTCGTTGACGAGCATCTTATACGTGGAAAAGACGAAGGCAAAATACCCGAAGAAGCAAGAAATGGGATGAGGAGTACTACGTAGTAGACTGAAGGATGACCATATCACGAAAACACAGCGAATACCTTTGCTAGTAATGAACACACATTAGAACCTCAAAAGTAATCCATCGATAACTGCCGAAGCTGGGAAATGCCGATGTTCCCAACGCCCACGGGGCATCCATTTCTCTATGTTCAAATTTGGTATCTATGCTAACGAACCAACGAGTAATTTTCATACCCTGGCTTTGCTGTCCATCTACATGTTTCTAGGGTTGTTTCAAGCCTACTTCGATGATCAACAATAAGAATAACGCTTTCTATCTCACCTTGTCTCCAAGATCGCGCTCATCGCTACTGCTTCCTTCTTGTTCGCCTATTTCACCATAAATTTCTAGACGTCGTTCCAACAGCTTAAACCGTCCACTGCTTGCATTTACAGATTTCACTACTTCGCGAAACTGCCCAAAAAGTTCGCCTTCACTAGCTGCGAAATCCTCCTCCAATAGCCATTGTCTCTCAGCTTTTTCGGAAGACGCGTTGACGTCGTCGCACAAACGTTCCATTGTAAGCATGGCCTCCTTGAACACTTTTCGTGTTTCTTCCAGTTTATTGGAAATCTCTCGACGTTCAATTTCGAATCTCTGCTTCTCCTTTTGTAATGCCATTAGTAACGCTTCATTTTCCGCTATTGTCCTATCACGCTCTGCTAATCCTTCCACAAGCTGAAAATATTGGTATTAATAATTCTTCTGTATCTTCAAAACAGTGACAAAGTTAAGACTATGTTTAACTTTCACTTACTTCCCATCACTTCCTTCATGGTAGAGTACTACGTGAAATACAACCACAACGATACCGAGAAATAAGCAAAACTCAGAGCCTCAGCTGGGTTCTGAACCCTCGATTAAGCTTTCCGAGGGTAACGTGGTATCCACTAAAACAACCTTGCTTTTTCTCAGTTCGAAACCCGGCTGAGTTTTGCTTATATCTCGGTATTACTGTGATTGTATTTCACATATCCTAACATGGAAAAAAAACAGGCAGCAAATAAAAGTTAAATATTGTGATTTCCACAGCAGCTTCAGCTTAGCTAAGTTTAATGTCGATTTTTGCTCTCCAGAGCACTACTATTGCCTTTGGCAGATCCAACATTCGATAAACATCATCCATATAGAATGTTCAAGTGAGTACTGAATGAAAGGGACAGGAAGCTAACCGTCTGAATCCTCCAACCATGTGGGAGAGATAAACCATAATACGAACAATATTGATTTGGACCAGTCTTCCATATCCCCTAATTAAGACGTTGTTTTTGTTCTCATTTCGCTTTGGTTATATATAAGTTTCCACAACGAATAATTTCATATGTGTGTTCGCCCAAACGCAAGTTCCGTTTCTCAAACAAATTTCCGTGGTCGCAGGTGCATTCTTTTGCAGTGTTTTGGATGTTGTTTCCGGATATCGAAACGGGATCTGTGTCCCTAATGATTAAGTAGAACGGAAAAAAGTCCCGCACTTTCACACGAGAATACAGCTAATCTTAAATACAGTAAAGTTATAAATTAGGTTAATGAAAAAGCGAAATAGTAAACCTATCCCACAGCATTGTACAGCAAGCTATCGATGGCCATTTTCTCAAAAGAAGCAATGACAAGGAACGACGTAATTCTAAATTTGGTTCGCTGCCTACCTTGAGGAAGAGCCAGTAGAACTTGACTGAGCATTTGGCACCAGGCGAGGACGAACGGTGAAAAATGTTGTCACCTTTGAGTAATTCGATGATTTGACGAGATAATAGTTGATACGACTCATCATCCGACCACAAAACAGTTATTCTGGTGCTCATATTTTTGTGAACTTTCCTTGTTCAAAGACTTAAGTGGTGAAAAGTGGTTAAATCTGGTGAAATGGTGAAGTCCGTAATGGTGTCTGCATGAAGATACGACAGCTTCTTCGGTTCGAGCTCGTAGAAACATCACAACATAAAAATTCTCTAGACGGGAACATCCCTTCTTTGTCTGCACATCGTGCTGCCTCATCCGACTACCAAGTCATTTAAACGCGAACCAGCACGTCAATCTCTACTTCGTAATCAAATTTACAGCTTACGGTCTCCATGTTTTTCTGGGAGCTTAAGCTTTCCTTCTCGAGAATGCGAACGCGCTTCTCCTCCTTTTCCAATAACTTCCGAAGTTGCTCCACCTAAAAGCAGGAAGCTGTTTGACTGACGACTATTTATGTACTACATATACAACAGAAATAATGAATAAGAACGCCGATGGCTGTTGTTACTGTTCAAATAGACCAGAATTTCATTGCTAAGGAATATTTCGTCAAAAAATATCTTCTTATTGTAGCGGGACACATATAACCTTTTCCGATAATTTTATAAATAATCTCATAAGATGGGGTGTAAGGGCAGAGTATTAAAAATCAGGTGACCATAAGATGATATATACCAGTGGAAGAATGGTGCTCCCATTAGGAAAGCATCTACAGCACCTACAGTTGAAAGTGGTACGACAGAAAGCTCACACGCTTTTTTCTGAGAAATACAACCAAAATTAGGAAAGGAATAGCATTTTGGTGTCACTACACTACCAAGTGAAGGCGCGCGTAGCGCAATGTTGCAGTGTTCACGAGTACCGTGCAATGTACCGTGGTTTTTAGTTCACTACCGCGCCGCACCGCTCCTTTCATCGCTTTGGGGTGCCCAAATTGATACCAGACTTGTCTGCGAACATAGTAGCACTGATATGATATATCGGTAGACCACCGCTAGCTACTCTATAACCCAGATATGCATTCAATCGCTTCTAATGCTTCTTATTGAAGTTGAATGCGCGGGGATCTCGAGAAGATGGATGGACGCCGACAGCTTTATCCGTTATCTTTTTATACTACCTCTTCAGTTTTTTCCCGCATTTCTCTCGCAATACTCGCATTCTTTTCCACGACGGCAGTCCATCCTGCAAGATTTTCCGCTTCCTGGAAATCGAAATACAAAGAGACAAGTGGTAGGGCGCGAAGCACTTCACAAACAGAAGTTTGCCAATAATCATTGCAATAGTATAATACCATTTTCTCACAGTGTTTCCTCCAGTCTACTCTTGAAGCCTTATACTCTTCCCTTTCCAGTTCGGCGTTTCTTCTCAACTCTTCGATTTCCCGTCGTAGCCGGGCTCGATCACTCTCTGCGTCGCTGAGTAACTGGAAGGTGGAAACAGTTGTGTAATGTATGTTCAATAAGCAGGATTTAAATTCAGCTTTCAACTATTGCTTAAATGTTTTTCCATTACTGACTTCCATTCCAACCCAGTGTGGATAGTCAGTGTGATGGTTTACTGATAAGCGAATACGAAGTTGTCAGAATTCATGCATAACAATTTTGCTCTTATCAGTAAAGTAAAATATTTCTCAGAAAGATGACCAGCTGTGTTACTTACAACCCAGTAATGCGTAAGTTGGTCGTAGGTTTGACGTAATTTCCTTCCCTGGAGAGCGACGACGTTGCCTTTGGTTCCAAGGCGTTTTTCTCGACCATCTGTTTTCGTTACCTCTTTTTCATCAGTTCCCTCGGCTGCCAACTGCTGAAAAACAGCATTTCTCAATGTATAAGCGTCATATTATACTGCAGATTTTGTAGCCTCAGAGAATATGTTAGGACCCTAGTGCTCTGGGGTTGGCACTAACCGATTCTTTTTCAATTTCATAATAAAACTTCATCTGTTCCACTTCCTTTCGCAAAATTTTGAGCTCAGCCTCCATTCCCTTCTGCGATTGTTCATACAGTTGTATAGCACGTATATACAAGTTCTGGTTATTCTCCAACCGCCTTATGCGCTCATCTTTTATGGAATCCCTAAATAAAGTCTGGAGTAAAGATTATGTCATTAAATCTCATACATTGATATTTAAAGGCGGATAAGCCTTGCATTTCCGGCTTCGGATTTCTTTCAGTTCCAGTGGTTGCTCTCTGAAGACTTGCTTGATGAATGCTCTCAACTATACAACCAAGATGACATTGACGGGTGATTGCTAATGGAAATGGTAGATAGAGAACTAAATGAGACACGCGAAGCAAAGGAACTCCATGGTGTGGTGGTGAAAGCGTTATCCCCCGGAAAGGATAGTAGCGCGTTCGTTCTCCACTGCAAACACCTGCGGTCCAGAGCTTTGCAAAATATCTCAGCATCACCTTGGCTGTACTTCACATGACACCCTCCCGTGAAAAATTGTAATAGGCAGCAAATGAAATGTTAAAACTCTCAACTATGCAAAATACAACCACAACGTTGCTGAGATATTTGCAAAACTCTGGACCGCAGGTGTCTATCGTGGGGAACGAACTCGCTATTGTCCTTTCCGGGGAGTAACGCGTTCACCACCACACCATGCGGGTCCTTTGTTTCGCCTGTCTCTCAGCTATTTCTATCGATCTTCGTCACAGCAATCACCCGTCAGCGGGATTGATCCTGGGTGCCCAAATCGGCCTGTGGGAAAGATCGATAGAAATGGCTGAGAGACAGGCGAAACAAAGGACCCACATGGTGTGGTGGTTAACGCGTTGCTCCCCGGAAAGGACAGTAGCGCGTTCGTTCCCCACCATAGACACCTGCGGTCCAGAGTTTTGCAAATATCTCAGCAACGTTGTGGTTGCATTTCGCTTAGTACCCTGCTGCGAAATTATAGTAGGCAGAAATAAAAAGGAATAACTCTCAACTATGTTGTCCTTCAACCACCAATCAAAGGTGTGTATACACTGACATTCAAAGGGAGGGAAACTAAGCAAGTAATATGCAATTCAAGCGCGATTATTTGTTATAGATCTCCGATCGTGTGAAATTTTTTTTTTTAACGTTTTGTTTTCTGCCTTCTATAATTTTCATGGCAGGTTACTAAGCGAAATACAACCACAACGTTGCTGAGATATTTGCAAAACTCTGGACCGCAGGTGTCTATGGTGGGGAACGAACGCGCTATTATCCTTTCCGGGGAGTAACGCGTTCACCACCACACCATGCGGGTCCTTTGTTTCACACGTCTCTCAGCTATTTCTATCGATCTTTTTGCCACAGCAATCACCCGTCAGCGGGGTTGATCTGGGGAGCGCAAATCGGCCTAGAACCCAGTTAAGCTATGGCTGTAGTTGAAATCACAATGTTTAACGTATCTCAGCAACGTTGTGGTTGTATTTCGCTTAGTAACCAGCCATGAAAATTATAGAAGGCAGAAACAAAACGTTAAACATTGTGATTTCAACTACAGCCATAGCTTAACTGGGTTCTATGCCGATTTGCGCTCCCCAGATCAAGAAAACAAAACGTTAAACATTGTGATTTCAACTACAGCCATAGCTTAACTGGGTTCTATGCCGATTTGCGCTCCCCAGATCAGCCCGCTGATTGGTGATTGCTGTGGCAAAGATCGATAGAAATAGCTGAGAGACGTGTGAAACAAAGGACCCGCATGGTGTGGTGGTGAACGCGTTACTCCCCGGAAAGGATAATAGCACGTTCGTTCCCCACCATAGACACCTGCGGTCCAGAGTTTTGCAAATATCTCAGCAACGTTGTGGTTTTATTTTTTTTTCAGGAGAAAAAAGGATTTTAAACACCGAAGAAAGTTCCAGTCATGAATATATTTGAACACAATAATGATCTGGGAATAGATTTTGATGGACCAAATTTCTGTAACACACATCGAAGCGTTGCAACAGCTGAGCACTGTAGGAAAACCTGGACTTCTTGAAGCCGTGTGTTCTGACGTCGTCGTGTCACACAGTTTTCTCGCTTTCGATTGATCAGTGTCAGTAAAAGAAGAAGCAATCTATGCTGCACTTTTTTATTTCGTGCCTATATACCACCATTGTAACTGGTAGCGTCAGACTTGTCTGAGACCTCACCCATCTATTTCAAGTTAGGACTCCTCAGCACGGTTAGCCCAAGATTCCATAGATAAACGACTCGATCAGCATCTACATTCATGACGAAGACGAAAATCCTCATCCAGCAGCTGAGTCCACATGCAGGAAGTTCGAAGACCTTCGTGGATAAGAGAAAACTAATCGAATGCAAGTGTTGGGATCCGCAAAATCTGATATATGTGATGTCGCGTAATTTCAGGAAATGTTTTAAAAAGTAAGTTATTCGGTTTTTCTACCACGAATGGGTCACTATGGCTTTCTTGTGAGACAAATTCTGCTTCGAAAAAAGGGTATCAGTGATTTATCTGTCAAATTTCACCAAAACATCGATTTTCGTGCAGAATAGACTTTCTGTTGTTCAACGGTACAACGTAGTAAGAAAAGGACCAGTTTTATTGCGCAAAGGAATGCGTTCGATAGAGACGACCCGCTTTTCTTTAAATTTCCAAGACGCTCAAGCAATTTCGATGCCGTTCTCGCCCGCATGCTTAGTACTTCCACAGGCTTCCGAAGCGTCGTGCGCGCCGTAGTCGACACCCTCGGACGATCGACGGCCAATGCAATCCTCCATGATTCTCCATACCCCGAGGCTGTCATCTCCATTACTAAACTTGTATGCAACGCTGACATTGTAGGTCGTCTCCACGGCTTTAGGTTAATGTTGGAGATTCTTACAGATTTCCAAGACCGACTTTCTATCAACCTAAGCACTGATTGATAATTGGCTGTTTTTCTTCAACGAGCAAAGACGAGGTTGAGAATTGTTATGTTCTTTATTTCAGAAACGGAAATTGATTACAATATCGCATGAAAACAAATGAAAATGTGAAGCGAAATCTGTCCTTTAAAATGGTAGGTGGTATACATGCAACGGCACAACGTTTGATCCAAATACAAAAGGCCGATGTCTGAAAAATTGGAGCAAAACCAGTTTATAGAAAAGCTGACATTTGGTTCATTGGTAATGATAGAGATGATTTTCCATTTTTTCTTCTGCTCCGCGAAATTTGGTGACCAGTGCTTATGCACAATGGGTAGAACGAACACAGCAACAGGACATGATACTTGGCAAGTCGATCAACAGTTATTAGTGGAAGATCTACCCGCTGTTCTACGAAGAACGACAAAATGGTCTTTGAAAGAAACAAAAGCCACATAGTGTACAGTATGAGCACGTTTCATAAACTGTCCAAGATACTCATACGTAGATACTTTTGGGGATGGGTATTTTGGGGATGCGACGAATTTTTAAGGTTTCGATGAATTTCCGAGGCTTCGGCTTAAGCTTAAGCTTTGGCGTTGTATTTTGCTGAATTCGACGACTCTTCACTACGTCGCCAATTTCGGGCTTAGGCTCGGCTTAGGCATACGCTGTTGGAGAACTCGTTCGTGATATCGTAACTCGTTCGCGCTACCATAACCCGTCCGCTACTACAGTAACTCGTACGCGAATAACGTAGGCTTAGCCCTAGGCCCTCGAATAACCCGTCGGCGGCTACTTTAAGTCGTCTGCGACTACTGTAGCCTTAGGCCTAGGTTTAAGCTCAGGCGCCGTGTTTTGGCGTCCCGGCGACTTTTTGGAAGTGTTGGCGACTTTAGAGGGTTTTTGACGGGTAGTTCAAATTGCACGAATTTGTGGCTATGTGCGGTTTCTTTCCTCTCCGTAAGGCTCAAGCCAAAGCGGCGTCCGACATTTTGCCGCGTTTTTCCGTCGTTTCGACGACTTTCCGACTTTTCTCCGAGAAACTCGTCCGCTAGTACTACCGCGTGCTGAATATGGCGATTGCGCGCTGAAATTCGCGTTTTCCGGCCTTTGTCTGGACAACTCGCTCGCGGCTGCAGTAAGAAGTTCGCCACTGTAACTCGTCCACTACAGTAACACGACCGTATAATATCCAAATATTTCATATTTTGCGCGGTTAAATTCGCCTTTTTAGGCGAGTTATGGGCGATTGCACGTGGGCCCGCCCCTGGCCGTCTGGTCGGGTGCCGCGATGCTGTCGCATCCCGGAAATTTGTCGGTTTTTGAGATTTTTCTCGCCAAACGGAGTTTTTCAGCGATTTCGTTGCACGCTATAATGAAAATTTATAACAGGCTCGTGTTAGCTCAAAACTAATCCAAAGTATTAACTAGACTCTAAGATGCCAGCTAGTACGCAACCGTTCTATGATTGCCTATTTATGATGCAAAATTGTCTAATATGCCCTAACGATAGAGACGGTAATTCTTTGATTTTGAATACGGCGTACCCAATCTCTTTTATAGCGTGTAGAGACGAATTCGTTGGCAAAATGGATATACAACTTTGAGTACGTGTAGAAGAACCCTAAGACAGTACACTTAAAGTCAAACGCAACATCCCACTAGACACACAAGACGCAAAGACATGGAGGAGAAGATTTTGAAGTAAAAGTCACGATCTTCGCACTGGGATCGAAAACATCAGCGCATTAAACCTTTGAAGCGTCGTGGACAAATTCCGAAGATCCAAAAATGAAACACCAAGAGGAATGTCCTGTGATCTCACGTGACCACGCGCCATAGTTCAGGCTGATTTTCTGCTTCCGAGCCAGACACATTCCTCCACCACTCCGTGCGGCTGGTCCCCACCAAAAACCTGGAAGGTTTACAAAAAACAAAATGGTGAGGAAGACCTGACTCGACACGAAGGCGAAGCTGCAACGTCGAGACGAACAACAAGCATGGACCATCGACTCGGATCACCGGCTCTGAGGAAGACGAAGACGTCGAAACGTTAGCCGATAATAAATAAATATCATTATCAACCTCGTGTAAGCTCATCAAAGAAAGAATACATATTGATTAGTGATACCGAGGTTCAAGGAAAGTCGGTTTCGAAATATTAAAACGGTGAGTGTTTAAGAGAAGTTGTTTAGTGTCCGAATACAAATTTATGTGCTACGTTTTATCTGCTGGAATGTAGTTATGGAATTGTTTGGCTGAGTAGATTGCATGACACTTTGATCTTTCCAGGTTCTTAACAAGGCGAAATCGCCGAAACGTCAGTCATTATGTGCTAATAAATGCTATTATACTAACCTCGTGTTTGCTCATTGAAGAAAGACAGTGAATTATTAACTACATTTAGTTGTACAAGTGGGGGCACGTGCAACATACCGATGTTTTCGTTCAAAGCGTGCATCCCTTGGAGTGTTTGCATCGTGAAACCCGAGCACATCGGAGCGTCGACCTGAATTACCTTGGTATATAAATGACGCTTCCTACGAATGAAATATCGTTACTGTGAGGTTGGAACTATATTGTAGGAAAACAGAATCTTCACACATACCTTCCATGGGTGAAAGTCTTGTCGTTGCGGACACTTCTGGTGCCTGTGAGGACTGCTCCTCAATTGGTGCACACCCGTTAACAAGGACTGGATCGGAAGTGCTGAACATTGTGGCTACCGACTAGTTCACTGTCGTTTTAATACAGTAAGTAGGGTTGCGGTGCGCTTATATACACCGCTGATTACATGTTAAGGTTAATATCAAACCTTACATGGATAACCGTGAAAAAGAAGTTATTACGAACGGCCAATCAACCAGTCAACACACGCCCTGTAAGAATACTGCCGTGTGGGTTTTCTTTAAAACCTGTGTCAACTTGAGAAGATTCGATTTGGTGTGACTGTCATTGCAAGGACGAAAGGCAGTGGACAATCGGCTCATATTATCGCAGCTCTGGAAAAGAAGACGTTGGAGCGTTAGCCGAGTAAAATTTGATACCGCAATTCTTTTAGCATATCTATAAAGAAAGTAGATACCGATTACTCGTATCGAGGGTAGAAGAAAGTCGACTTACAAAAATATTGCAATGTTTGCTTCAGCGTGTTCTGGCAGGTTTTACTGTCGATCGAGAGATTGCTGAATATCAGAGCACTATGTTGGCATCAGTCTACACTGTGCGATGAAAAGACTCTTTCAAGCCTGGCTGTACAACCCTTCTTTTTTTGGGATCCCAACACGCAATTTTGACGGAGTATTTGAGCATTGCAAAGCATGAAGCATAGCAAGGAGTCACTCAAATCAAAACGTGAAGTCCACGTGCTATGCATTGAGAAGAATAGAGTAACTCTCGGTGTTGATCAGTCCCTGAGGGATGTGCCACCCATTCGACTTCATCAAGCATCGTTTGGAGGTGACTGAATGCATATCTGAGCTTTACAATGACTCGCAGTGGTCTATCGATGTATCGAGTCAATGTTGCTATCCTCCCAGACAAGTCTGATACCAGTTTGCCGACCCCGGAGGGACGGAGGCTTGGTGAGCTAGGGACGCAGGAACCGATCCTATATGTATTGGAAGGGCCTCCTATCACTACACTACACGCGCCCCATGCTCTGCATAACAAAGGTGCAACAGGAGTCATTCCAGACAGACAACGAATAACTTGGTAGAGACGGAGCAACCTTCACACTTACTGTAGGGATTCTAGCATTTCTTCCATTTCTGTTCTTTTCATCACGTCCACCATCCATGAAAGTCTTCGAACTTTCCGTGTGTAGGCGGATCCTGGAGAAGTCTGGTATAAAGCTCCCGCGTCCGAGCGGATAGGAGGTACGCTGAGCCCAGTGCAGTGTCGAACCAGGACTCTGCTCGTGCTGAACAGCACCACTACAACCGCGCTTTCCCTCCCCATTTGAGACTTTGGTATGTAATTCGTGCGAAGCTTAGTAGCCCCGACGTCTGTGATCGAAGAGAAATGGGTCATATCTTGTTCCCGGTTTCACCACGTAGCTGCAACTACAAGTTACGAAGCCATTTTATCAGGCTTAGTAGAAATTTAGGAGGAAAAAATCATGACTTCTACTACAGGTTTTCTGTGGGATAATTCAAATGTTAAACTTCGGCCCAGGAGAGTGGTTGAAAACTTGAGATCGTTACGGAAGCACTATAGTTAGACGAGGAAAGCTATTGATTAGGTCGAGTTTGTCCTTCAGCGATGTTCTTCTCTTCACAAGTAAATATGGCAAATCATCTATCTCTTCTTCGATTGGCTATAGAGACGATCTCAGATTCGGCGTGAACTGGTAGGTTGCAAGAAACCACAGTGTAGAAGAGCTTCTTGTTGTGCGGTGTGTGGTAACTAGGGGCTTTGGAAAACGCCCACTTCTAGTTCAACTGCTGTTCGGTTATCTGGCAGTCGGTATCCGTCCGGGATTCCTGAAGCTGTTTTCGCTTGGTTCACTCCAATGTCGGAAATCCTTGAGCAGTACACGAGCTCTGTTGCTCCAGTTGAGAGTTCCGCAATTGCACAATGATTTTTGGATTTTCTGTCCTCAGCGTGCTATCACTATAGACCATTTAAGCTCTTTCACTTTCTGCTATGCTTAGTTTACATATTTTCGCTTTGGAAATGAATACGAGCTATTGTTGAGAGCTGAATGTGAATGTATTCGCTGTCAAGTGAGGAGTTCAACAACTCCAAGAACATCTTGTTCCACCACTACCTAGGAATTTCTTCCACTGCTGAGCCAACGACACCTTACTCACAGAAAGGTATTGTTTTCTCATTTCAGCACAGTTCCTTTTGATTTACCTAATTCATGCAGTGTAACTATTTCTAGACAGAGATCTTGACCGAGAACAATTGGAGACCCGGAGGCGGTTCATCGCCAATTACTTCGATCGGTTTATAAGGTGAAATTGTGACTCTAACTCTTCCTTTTTCATTCGATTGACTGCTATCTTAGAACTTGTTTTTAAAAGGAATGGTGGAGAAAGTGCGGATCATTTCGACCTGAGAAGACTCAGACGTGATGACTATGGGATTCCACAGGATATCAGCAAGCGCTACTTTGTCTTTGCCCAGAGCGACTTTCCGGACACACCCGCTCATCTTAATCACGTGGGTTAGATTGCGTCTATGATTTGAATCCCAGTTTTACGTTCAGTATCTCAAGATATCTACACAACTGTGGGGTTTTATACAGGATAACGGGAGTTTTTATATAAAATGCATTAAGATATCTAAGTACGTTAAGTTTTAAGTACATTAAGACACCTATCTATCCTTCTATTAAGATATCTCCGTGGTTGATACGACATTTCGAATACGCCGTGCAGTTGTCTCTCGATTTCTTTAATGATCTCAAATTCAAAAAGTTGAAGGATCTTCGAAAATCTCAACGGGAGCTTCCAATCGCCGAACGAAGGCGCGAAATTCTAGAAATTCTTGAAGATGTAGGTTTCACTGTATGTCTTTCCTTTTTCCCGTGACAATGACTGTTCAGTACTCTTTTTGATTCATAGATTTTCAGAACCAGGTACTGATAATAGCTGGAGATACTGGATGCGGAAAAAGTACCCAGGTTGTGGTATTAGAATAAAATCTTAGTGACTTTTCGTTTATGGTGCTTTTACATGGTTTTCTCATTTGATTTTTTGTGCTGTTTAGGTCCCTCGGTATCTTCTGCAGAGTGGCTACACTGCCATAGCCTGTACTCAGCCGCGTCGCATTGCCTGCACTTCGTTGGCTCGTCGAGTGGCTTACGAAACTCTCAATGCGTATGGAAGCGACGTGGCTTATCAAATAAGGTAAAACAAGTTCCGTATGTTAATGAAAACTTTCCATAAATCAATATGAGGTGTATCTTTGATAGGTTTGAAACTATGAAGTCGAAGCGCACACAAATGCTGTTCCTCACCGAGGGCTTGTTATTGCGCCAAATGGAAAAGGATTCACTTCTTCAGCAGTACAACGTAGGGCTACTATCGAACCCATAGCAATTTTCACAACTGGGTGTAGCCTTTTGCAGTATTTACCTCTTTCTCCAGGTTATTATCCTCGATGAGATTCATGAACGTCATCTGAACAGTGATTTGCTTCTTGGACTTCTTCGAGATCTGATTGGAAAAAGAGACGATTTGAAGCTTATTCTTATGTCAGCTACAATAAATTTGGAACTATTTAAGGAATATTTCAATGGAGCTCCAGTAATTCAGGTTTAGTAATGTCCTTTGCGCTTTGTATATTGTTCGTTTGACATGATTTGTTTTTGAACCCTTTAGGTTCCTGGTCGATTGTTTCCTATCCAATTGCGGTATCATCCAATAAAGCAATACATCATGGAAAGCGATAAAAAGAGCCATAAAATTGATCCAGAGCCTTACGTTAGGATTTTGGAGGTTTTTTTTTAGAATTTGTTCATGCGCTAGAAGCTACAACATTTCCGTTGTAAAACCACTTCCATGAAAGCATTATATATGGTACACATAATAATCGCGTGTAGCGCAGTGGTCGGAAACGCCCTGCAATACATACGGGATCGATCACCGCGCCTCTGGCTCACCAAGCCTTCCATCCCTCCGTGCTCGGTAAATTCGTACCAGACTTGTCTACGAGGATAGCAGCACTGGCTCGATACATCGGTAGGCCACCGCCAATCATTCTAAAGGTTAGATATGCATTCAGTTATCCCCATGTTTAGCGAAGTCGAATGCATGGCGCATCCCTCAGGGTTAAATCAGCACCGAGAGCTTTATCTCTTAGCTTTGCATGTAATAGTCGCTTAAGTACATGCAGACGTAGCTGAAAACCCAGTGTTGCTTTCGGATAATGATACACCATTTTTCCCAGAACTTGTTACATAGATGTTCTCTCATCGCATGTCCTGCGGGTCTCAGCACTTTTTGCATTCGTTGTGTTGTCTTACACCCGTAATCCATAGGGGTTGCCATACTCTCTTTTCCTTCTGCTACGAGTGGAAGATCTATCGCCTTTCCTCTTTTTTGACGTTCTGAACGATGAATGTTTTACTTTCCTGGAATTCTGGGATAGCCGTTCTGGAGTGTTTGAACATCTTCGAAACAGGCGATAGATAGCCAACCACTGTGGGATTTGCAAACTTGGCGGTAAATTCATTCAACACGGTTTCTTTTTCCGCGATCATTAGATTGATTGATCGAAGGCGATGTAACAGGTCAAATCTATGCACATTGTTTATCGTCTATGCATTGTTATATACATAAAATATACGTATACGTTGTTCATATTTTCGAGTATGTCCACTTTGTATGATTCTACCCGGATACCCTGTGAACCCCAACACTTCTTTCATTCACTTCATTGCCCTTCACCCGTCGTCCACGATGGTGATAAAATTTCAATTCTTCCATTCGATTCGTTTTCTCTTATCCATCATCCACGACTGTCCAACTTTTGCGCATGGGTCCGGCTGCTGCCTGAGAATTGCCGTATCCTTTATGGATCTCATTGAATTCTGATCGAGTTACTTTCCCTGGAGTGCTGTGATAGCCGGGCTGGAGCGTTCCCATATAAATGAGGGAGTCGGCTGATCTCAAACGAGTTTGATACCAATTTCCCAACTCCAGAGAGACGAGAGTTTTGGTGATCCCAATTCGGGGTCGAACCGACATTGTGCTTAGCTCGTGATGTACCATAAGATAACATTAGAGATCTGAAATCCATCTTGCGCTTAGTATAAGAGTACAGAAGTTTATCATTTATGCACGGAAGTACTCTCAAAATTCTGGAGATGTTTTACTGGCATTTCCTGCATAGTTTTTTGTACCATGAGGATTAAAGCTGTAGTGAAACTCACATCTTGCTAAGGTCAAGAACAGTCCAAGAGGTTTTCAATGAGTAATTCTAATGTTTAGAGTTTAATGATGGACATACGACAACTTCAAAGCTATTCAAACTGACAACAGCAGTGAAGATTAGAGCTATGGGCAAAGTTTTACACTAGGAATGGAACACTGCATACGCAACTAAGATAAATGCACTAGTGAATGGCTTAGAAAACACAATCAAAAGTTTTGTTTGCAAACGTCATCTGTATTAATGAATTAAGGCAGGAAATTTTCTGACTAAGATCAAGTGGCTATAGATGCCGAACTTTATCGCATTCATCTTAGCGGTAAACGCAGACAGCTTTCCCAAGCTAGAGTTCAATCAGCGGTAGCGCGTTCGCTTAGGAAATCATGTGCTATTGATTGATATTCGATTTCTTAACGTTGATTATTCTGAGAGCATTCTTTGTCGCAGAAACCAGGTTTTAGAGCAAAATATGTTTGTGTGACGTTTGTCTTGCTGGAAAGAGTGTATTTAGCTGATTGATAAGCAGTTTCCTTCCTCGGAACGTGGTGATGCTCTGATTTTCTTAAATGGTATTGCCGAAATCTCTACAGTTGGCGAAGCTTTGAAGACGTATGCAGAATTAACGAAGGCTTGGATTATTCTTATGTTGCACAGGTTATTGAGTTTAATCTTTGGACTTCATTGCATAATCTGTGAACTTTGGGACATCGCAATTTCAGTGATTTTCAGTGCTTTATCCGTTGAAGAGCAAGATAAAGTGTTTGATGTAGCTCCGTCGGGTGTGCGTAAATGCATACTTTCGACAAATATTGCGGAGACCTCTGTGACAATCGACAGGATACGTTTTGTCATCGATTCCGGGAAGGTGCTAGTTTTCAATATTTAAACGTTGTTGTGTTTACAATTTCAGCTTATTATTTACTGCCTACTCTTTTTAACGGCAGGGTATTCATTGTGAAATATAACTTCAACGATGCTGAGATATTTGCAAAAGTCCGGACCGCAGGTGTACGCGGTGGGGAACGAACACGCGCTGTTGTCCTTACCGGGGAGCAGCGCTCTTCACCACCACACCATCCGGGCCCTTCGTTTTGCCTGTCTCTCAGCTAGTTCTATCGATCTTTTGCCATCAGTTGTTATGTTTAGTTTTAATAGATGTTCTTCGTTTAGGTCAACCTAATCAATCACGAAGTTGGGAGTGGAACTCAGAAACTTAGCGAGTTTTGGGTGTCCAAGGCCTCTGCTGACCAACGGAAAGGTTTGGTGTACTGCGTAATTTCTTTTCATGTTACATTAAGGCGCATATTTAAAGCCAGCAGTGCATAAAAACTCTACCACGTGAGCCTCCGGTAAGAGTGATCGTGGGGTTGAAACCCACCTGAGGTTCCGAGTTTTACTCATATTTTAGAATTCTTGTGATTGTGTTTCACATAATGCTGTGCATTGAAAAAATAATAGTGGGAAATAAAGTTTAAAACGTCGTTTCGCCTACAGCTCCAGCTTAACCTGGTTCAATGTCTATATGTGCCTCCTGTCATTCCCGTTGACGGATGATTGCTGGTAGCACCGTAAAAGTAAAAAATGGCTGAGAAAAGGGCTACACAAGAGCCTCGATGGTCAGTGGATAGCACTTGAGCCTGGAAGGTTAATCAGGAATCGTTTATGATTCAGAGAAGAAGTCTGCTTGTACGTTCCATGTCCTCATTCTCAACCATTACTTCGTTGAAATAAAACGTACAGTTTTAGCTCCTGTGAGACTACTGTTTGGTTCGTGGAAAATTCTCAAAAGTGCTTATTTCTTAGTATCCTCAAGCGGTCACTATTTTCATCATTATAGGTAGAGCTGGTCGCACAGGACCAGGTGTATGTTATCGTTTGTATTCTCAAGAGCAGTACGACAAAATGAACGACTTTACTCCCTCAGAAATCAACCGAGTAGCACTACATGAAATGGCCCTTCGAATGATAAGTCTGAACCTAGGATGTAGGTTGCCTAAGTGTTTGCGGTTTGTAAGCTTTTCATACTGTTGATGGTAGCTACTGAACATCACTTATATTTCAGTGGACCCCCAAACTTTTCCGTTTATTGAGCGCCCAGAAGAGGAGAAGTTAAGCGAGGCGTTGAATACCCTTAAGTCCCAGGTGTGCTTTTTTCGTTAGTTTCCATTAGTATCCCTTCATAATTATTTTTTCTTACAAGAAATGATCTTTCAGGGTGTTTTGCACCGGGGTCGCGGTAATCGTCTCACTGCTTTGGGCAATGTCATAGCTAAACTTCCAGTAGATGTAGCCATAGCGAAGGTAATGTTTTTTTCAAATTGGCACGTTGATATGGTCAAAAATTATAGCTCGAAATTATGGTAAAGAAAGCGACAAGTTCAGATGTTAGTTTTGGGTTGCGTATTCAATCAAGTCGATGTGATTCTGACTGTTGCTGCTGGGCTTTCGGTTCAAAGTCCGTTTACTAATCGATCTTACCGGTAGGATCCTTGCTGATTGGTTAGCACTCATGTAAGCCTTTAACGACACACATATCAAGCAAACAAAAGATTTTACTTATATGTAGACATGCCACGTCAATGATTTCGAATTAGCAATCACCAATTATCACTTCAGTGACCTTCAAGTAGTCGAACGAAGAAGGCGCCTCACGAGTCCTCTAGGAGATCCCTTCACACTTATAGAGATATTTAGGTATGTCGTTATGTTATTTATCAGTTTTTATCTCTAAATCTTTGCAATCTCGGGTTGCCTACTGATATCTTTACTGGAGTATTATGTGGCTCATTCTTAAGTAGAGGTTTTACTGGTTGTATTACGTTTTCTCTTCCTTTTCTCTTACAACCATAGCGCAGATTGATTTCGCATTAGTAGATTTTTGAACACTATTTATTTTCCTTATGAGTTTGAGGGTTTTATGACCTATTATTTTGTATAATGATTGGGATAACTTTGCGGCTTTATACACTTTGACAGATTTGTACTCCGCCGGTAAAATCGAATGCTGTAGTTCTGGATCCACTTGTTGGTCTGTTCCCTTTCAGTTGTATAAACCTAGATGTTCTTTGTTTTTTATTTAGAAAGTCTGCTAGAACGTTTTCAGTGTTCGCGTGACGTGGTAAACAATCATAGGCAAACGTTTATTTTTCGGTGGTCAATCAATTCAATTCTTTTAGTCGTCCTAATCGCAAGAAGCTTCTTTTATCCAGATCGTCTTCCTTCGGCATTTATTTCATTAAGCGCTTTCGGAACCTCGGATTGTTGAACCAGCACGAGGTTGACGTAAAATATTTATTCGGCTAACGTTTTGTCGTTTTCGTCTTCTCAATCGGACTGATTGGAGTTGTTGATCCACAGGTGGTCCTCCTTGCGGTGTGGGTGTTCGTTGTCGCATCGAGTCGAGTCTAATGAAATATCCAGCACATATCCAATAACGAATCTTACTCGGTGTCATTTTATACAGAATGGGTGTTTATCGAGTGCCACCTACAATATTATCAACTGTCGAATGAAAATTTTTCATTCTTGGTATTTAGCCAATAGTAAAAATTTGTCTATGTTTTCTTATATCTTTGTGAACTACTCGTTCACACTGAGCGGACATGTGTAGCTGTTACATAAGTGTCGCAATTGGTTCCTCCTAGAAATTTGTTCTTTTGCAAAATTTAAACTGCTCAATAAACTCGACTAATTAAATACGATAGTTCTTGTAGAAAAGAACCTGTATAAAATTGTTTTTCAGAGAATGGGTTCTTCAGAAAAGTTATACAAGCAAAGGTCGACGCTGGGCGTTGGAGAATGGTATTGATGAACACAGAATATACGAAATTAGCAAGTTGAGGTCCCAGTATAGGTGTGGTTTTTTATCTTCGAGGTTTGCACTCTTTATACATTAGACGTCTTCAGAAACAGAAATGGAGATATAAGAGTCAACTGTTCCATTTTAGGAAAATTCTTGAAGATGCAGGACTAATCGACAGGGCAGACGAGCCGGAGCAAAATGATTCCCGCTTGCGGCGAATCGATCACGGTGACAGAAAGAAACTTTTCGATATAAAACGAGATGCTAGGTAAATCAACAGTCCCAGGGCTTGTAAAATGTGTGTTGTATCAAATCAACTTTATTGCTCAGGAACTTGGAGAAAGGTCGAAAATTACTACGAGCAGACAAACATTTCGATTCATTCCTTGATGATACGGAAGAGGATCTCGGTAACTATAAAGATTAAGTTTGGAAAGCAACAGCACATATTGCGTTTCAGAGAATGAACAGAATCCATTGAAGGCCGATGTGAAGACCATGGAATTTTTTTTGAATTATAAGCGAAGAGACATAGAAACAATACGTTTTACCCACAAATTGACTAGGAAGGATGCAGAAGTGCGTACCATAGTGGTAAAGATTAGATAGTAATTTTGAGACACCGGTGCCACTGGGCCATTCCTTATTTGTAGGTGATTAGAGTGGTTATCGCCGCCGGTTTGTACCCACAGTTTGCTATTCTGGACCCTACGAATAAGTACCAGGTGAGTATGTTTTGATCCAAATTGTTTCCACGTAAATGAATGATTTTTCAAGCATGGGCAAGAGCTATTCGTGCACACAAGAATGAAACCATTCAGCTTAATTCATCCAAACTCTACAATAGCGCAGTATCATGCAGGTACTGTCAGTTTGGATAGTGTTGGAGGTGTATTAGACATATCATGAATTATAAACCCTTGTATTCTTTTCAGAGGTGCTGGACCCACGAAGTGACAGCGAAGGCCGCTCTGTGCATCATCAAATTCCATTCTTTGGGTTGTCATTAGAAACTACAAAACCTTACATTTGTAATGTAATGCCAGTTCCTGCGCCAGCCCTTCTGTTATTTGCCAGGAAGGTCCAAACATCTTTTCAAACATTCGAAATGAAAAGTTTTGGTTTGCTGTTCTAGTGTTCTTCATTTCTTCAGTTACCTCTGATTTCCGTAAATCGTTGAATCCCTTCCTTTGCTTTCAGGTGATATCAGATGATTGGAAATTGGTATTGGTGGATGAATTTGTTGAGTTTTCGTTCAGCGGAGTGGCTCAGTGTGAACAAGTTTTGCAAATTGTGGCAAAAATTAGGAAAGAATTAAATGAAGGTATGTTTTACTATGAAATCTTCACTGGGTTCGGGTGCTGGAGGTAGCTTACGTGTCGTTCTAACTTCTTCACATTTTTTGGTTCTTTTAAAAATGATTTTAATGTTCACGTTTAGATTTCAAATGCACAGAGGGTCGAATGTACAGGTTGTTAGATGATAGTTCGGTTCTTTCGATACATCAATACTGGTAATCACCGCTTCGGGCCAACTAAGGTTCTCATCCCTCCGGTGTCTGGAAATTGGTGCCGGACTTGTCGGTGAAAAAAATCACTCTCTGCAGTCCAATTGGGAACGCTCCAGCCCTGCTATGTCAGTACTCCAGGGAGAATCGACTCGACCAGCATTCTACTACACTCAACATGAAATGATGTTCCTCAAGCAGTAGGCAAAGCGACACATAAAAGTTAGAAGATCTTCGTGGATAATGGATGCGGAAAACGAATCGAATATGAGTTCTGGCATCCGCACAGTAGACGTGAAGATGGGTCATAGAAAATGAAAAATAAAAAATTCTATTTGTGAGGATCAGACAATCACCATTGCCTTACTTTGCTTCGGAGTTACACCTTTACCTTCCGTAAAAATATTGATGCTTCATTTTTTCTCAACCATTGTGCCTTATGGAGAACATCGTTGTTTGTCTTATGAAATATATTTTTTCGAGCAGCGTGCTTTTGCCTTTCACACAATTTAAATGGCCCTTGTCATACAAGACTCATTGGCTTTCCGGTTTAGTTGGGCATTTCTGACTCCTTGTTCTATCGCACGACTACTTCCGCAAATTTCCGAACTGTTACACGCTACACTTCAGTTACGATCTTCAAATTCAAATTTTCAGTCGTAGTGGGTTTTCTCTAAAGAGTTCAAGGCTTTCATGGTAATCTTAACCCTTTTATTTACTGCCTTTTTTCTCCTTTTAATGGCAGGGTATGTTGCGAAGTATAACCCGTATATAATGCTGAGATATTTGCAAAACTCCGGACCGCAGGTGTATGCGGTGGGGAACGAATCCGCGCTGTTGTCCTTACCGGGGAGGAGCGCACATGCGGTCCGGAGTTTTGCAAATATCTCAGCATTATATACGAGCTTTCATGATAGTTCTGGAACAAACGCTGCACGGCGCATTCGCTAATTGTTCCCTGACTAAATGCAGTTGTATTTTTTTTTGCGTTGTTATGGCTTTACCTTGAAACCTAATATGCCGAAAGGATTACAGTAGTTTGTTTTACCTCATTTTTTTTTGCAGCCCGAGTTGAACAAATTTTAATATGAAAATAGGACGCTGGCTCAAATTTTCAGCGGGAATTTCAAACGTAGAGTTAGTAAAAGAAGAATCTTTCCGGGATACCAACTAAGACGTTTTTTACATTGACATTATTTTGAGCGAAATGTGAAATGAATGGTTCAGGTTTGCGAGTGAAACTATCTGGTGAGAAATACCATGAAGATGAACTCGTTGCTTTGATAAACCAGTTCACATTCCTTCTAGCTGAGGGAAATTTGGAAATATAGTAAGTCATTTGTGAAGCATTTCTCTCATTCATACTCATTGTGTAATGTATTAAGTTGTCCAATACAAAATGCTCGTTTTTGAGTCTGAAAATTCCAACTTTCCCAATGAAACTATGGTCCTTTGGAACAATGTGGCAATACTACTTATTACTTTTTGTCAACGTTTTAGAAGCTTAGACGTTTTATACGTCCTAAACATTCTTCGAAGAACGGAACTACGGAAGTTGATTTGGTGTTGGTTCACATTCATCTTTAGGAAACATTCTCTGAGTGCGCTGTGCCTTGTGCGCAACTTTTCCTATATGACTGAAATGCCAACCAATGTTCCTGTTGGGTATCACAGGCAATGACCTCTGTTATAAAATCAGAGGAGGCCCAAGGTGTTCCTCGTCTTTTCCTAGTTCTTCTACCTAGGCGTTATCAATACTCACCTGACGTCCCAGGTATATGTAGGCTATGCTCTTAACAGGTGGGCCGTTTAGAGAAATCCATTCTTTATACGAAACGCTTTTCATGAACTAGGTCTTTTTGCGATTGATCCGTGATCCTGCTTCCTATCTTTCATTAAGCTTGGAAGGCACTTTCTGCTTCGTTGCTGCTGTTTGCAAAAATGACAATGTTGTTAGAAAAAGGTTCGACGGGAGTGCTCATCAACACTTGTGTCGTTTTCGTCCCAGTTGGGTGATTGCACGCAGCACTTTAACGTTGCTGTAAGCAGCTTGAGCGGCATTGTTTTACCTTGTCATATTTTTCTACCAAAAAAGTGAAAATCCAGCATTGTAAAAATTTGAATATTAAACAAATTTGAGATTAAAATGGTCACAGCGATAGAGCAACGCTTTTCCATGAACCTGTAAGTTCTAGAATTATCAAGTACTATACTCGAAAATCATCGATAGTGGACAACCAGAATCCGTCACAATTTTCATGATACGAAATTGTGATAATGAACGGTCGAAAGTCTGGAGTGTAGCAAATAATTTATGACGTATTTGGCTTGTTCAACATCAGTTATATCATTGCGTTAATTTGTCTTTCTGGAAGATATTCTTGCGGCGTTTTAAAAATAAACATATTCAAGGGCCTTGGTCGGTGTGGTGGATAGCACTTGACACCGTGAAAGGGTAATCGCGTTTTCGAAGCCCAGCCGGGGTTCTTGGTTTTGCTCATATCTCAGCATCATGCTGGTTGTATTTCACATCACATCTAGCCATTACAAAAGAATAGGCGGTAAATAATAGTTAAAACGTACATGTTTTTCATTTACTTTTGGCCATAAATATAGTCTGTTACAAACCAACGGGACCGCAGATTTCATATTTCGGCTTTTTCAGTATGAAACGAATCGTTCATCCACCACGAACTCTGGAAAACGTTGGATTTTTCACCCCTGACGGGGAAATAAAATTAGACATGGAAGATCAACAGTTCAGTGCAGATCGTAGAGAGGAACACTGCATAGATAGTGATGAGAAAGTTGCCCCAATAAAATCGGTAAGGAAGTAGAAATTGTAAATGTTCCATAATCTCATGTAATCACTACTTCTAGGGAACATCGATGCGAAAATCGGACGAAACTTCCCAGGTAAAAGAAGAAGTTCCAGAACATAAGCAGCGGAACAGTACTTATTACGAATTGCTAAAAAAGCGAATGGAAAAGAGTGAGGATCTTGAAAAGGATTGCCAACCAGACGTAAAAAAGCATCGCTCCGGATAATTGCGTATATTATATATATATATATGTTATGTAATTGTACATATGACTATGAAGATCATTTTTAACACAAACCCGATCGTATCCATTCATAGCAGTGCGCCTTTGTGCATAATGGACGTAATGCATTGGGATCAATGCACTTACTCTCCATTTTTCTGAGGTTCTGTAGCAAGTTTTTTGCTACGTTTCTTATGCCTGGTCGATAGTTTATGTAACACAGGTATGTCAGGCGTGGCCCTATAAAGAACTATCGTTTGCACTTAGCAATTTACATCACATACCAATGTTTATATTAGACACTTAGGCATACGACGCAAATATTAAATGGACTTTTACTTTTCGCACGTACGGTGGACACTTGTTTTGGTAGCTGCCCCTGCACAAATTAGTAATTAATCAAATTGCGGTTATGTCAGTAAAATTTGAATCGCACGGAAAGGCACCTATTTGAAATGAGTTGTCAGGTAACGTGCCACCAAGCTTTTGGCCCACCATTTGATCTCCTTTTTACTTAATACAATGTTCTGTTCGGTCCGTTGGAAACATGAGAAATTTCAATGTTTGACATCTTTGTTTTTTTTTTTGTAACGTGGTTTCTAGTGAGAATAAACAATCTTTGGAGACCTTATATGTGATGCGAAATAGGTGAATCGGTACAGTATGCGTTCTTACGAGATTTGGGATTATCTTTAGTAGCGTTATTTCCTATTTGGAAGTATAAGGATTGCTTTCGCTACTTGCGTTTTGACTCGCTCTGTGATATACTATAGCCTTAATATCCACTGATTGCACACTTGTAATACGGTCGTAGTGAATTCTAAATTACCTCAAGGAACGACTTTCCTTTCTTACAGGAGTTGCATTCCTTCCCCGATAGGAAGCGTATTCTTTAAGATTTGAGATTCCTGATGGGGACGCAGACAGAGTCAGGACAGCTCGTGACATATTGGAGTGTACTGCCGATGAGGAAGAGGTCAACGATTGAGTCCTTGGTGTCTCTTGTAGTTCGATACTGGTCATGATTAGGGATCATCTGTGCAATGAGGACGTTTTTGCACGTCTTTGCTACTTTTCAGTATAGAGATTAGATTTGTTAGCCTGCCTATCTATCTTGCTATAACTCTTACACAGGTCTGTGCCAGATTATGCAATGGGTTCTAGTCTGAAGAATTCCTGTTCGAAGTACTTATTTATAAAGAGTATCGGATCTCTTGACAGATTTGATTCAGACAGAAAAATAGACGTCTAGGCATCATGTCTAGTTCTGTTTGGGTCTTTTTCGTTCTATTCCTTGTAAATCGCTCTCCTTCCATTAAAATGGACCTCTTTCAATTCTTTTCTAATAAAAGAAGTTTCATTTTAACACGTGGAGTCCGACATGATCTCGTTCCTAGTTATTTTATTTGCGGTTGTTTATTTTGCTGCACAAGGGAGTTCTGTCGCACGTTTTGTATTCAGTTAGTAGCTTATCTATTGCAGATTACTGTGCTGTGCATGGGACCTGAAAATCTGTTCTTTACAATGCTTAATAAGTTACAGAAAACTTTACTGGTAAGTTCGTTTCGTGCGCCGCGAAATGTTGCTGATGAAGGGAACGGCAAGCTGAGAGGGAAGGGAAGGAAGACGTTTCCGCTATGATGTTTCATACGTAGGGGATTGTTTTGACTGCGATAAACGGTAGAGGATAAATCTCTCGGCGTTGATATGCATATCTGGCTTTCACAATGACTAGCGGTGGCCTACCGACCTATCTAGTCAGTGCTGCTATCCTCCCAGACAAAGCCGGCACTAGTTTGCCGAATTCGGAGGGATGGTAGGCTTGGTGAGCTTGGAGTGCAGCGATCGACCCCATATGTATTGCACGGAGCCTCCGACCACTGCGCTACACGTGCCGTTGGCAATTGGAGGATGTCATATCATGACCTTGGACCTATACCGGTGAATTGTAATGTGGGTGTATTCTCGGCGCCGCCGAACTGCTTGTCTGCGAAAAGGGGGGCGTCCATCAGTGTGTCTCCACATAGTCTCTCTTCGCATTCTTATTTTTGTAACAGTCTTTATTCTTCTTCTTTCTTTCTTCCATAACAGTCTTCCTTGTTCCAATAAATTTTCCATGAATTCTATTTCTTCTTCAGATACCAACTTTTGGAACTATTGATTTTTCCGCAGTTACTATGAAGAAATTACCGCTTCCGAGCGCTCATATCTGTTCCAATGTGTGCAGAAAGAATTCAGCTTTTCAACTTTGAAGAAGCATGTCTCAGCTCGTAGTGAACTATATCAATTGAAATAGGGACCACTAGAATCTAGATCTTTGGTGAATAATACAATGAAAAATAACTAATGTTCTCTCGATAAGCTAACCTGGCGTTGTTACTGTACTATTCATATATACACAAAAGCTGACCTTTTAGTGGATTTCGCGTTTTTCAGAGCTTCGAAAGATCATGCGCACTGCAGTCTGCTCGCTCAATTACTTCATATCCTCAGCAGGGAATCCATGAAACCTAAATTTTAATAGCATCAGAAACAAAACAGCTTCACATACTCATCGTTTTCTACGTTTTTCACTGAGTCTTCTACGTGGAGAGGGCCAAACAAAGTTCTCGTGGATGGGTAAAGTGCCCCCTCACGAAATCCTCCATTTTCACTGTCGCGTATGAGGAGTAGCCCAGTGGGTTCTGCTCGCTCTAGGGACTCGTCGAGCATCATATCTTTATTCTAGGCTCTTCGTGAAGAACTTTCACCATCGGGTCGG